TTTTTTTTTTTTTTTGAGATAGTCTTACACTGTTGCCCTCAGTAGAGTGCTATGGCATCACAGCTCACAGTAACCTTTAACTCTTGGGTTAGGCAATTTTCTTGCCTCAGCCTCCCAAGTAGCTGGAACTACATACAGGTGCCCACCACAACGCCTGGCTACTTTTTTGTTACAGTTGTCATTGTCATTTAGCTGGCCAGGCCAGGTTTGAACCCACCACCCTTGGTGTATGTGGCGGCACATAACCACTGTGCTATGGGCACCGAGCCATGATTGGTTTTCTTACGTTAAACCATTCTTGCATTCCAGAAGTTAACCCTATTCCGTCATGGTATATAATCCTCCTGATGTGCTGCTGGAACTGCTTGCTGGCATTTAGCTGAGGATTGTGCAGCATGCTTACCAGGGCACTTGGCCTGCAATTTCCTTTCTTGTAGTGTCTTTTTCTGGCTTCTTTATCAGGATGATGCTGGCCTCACAGAATGAGAAGGGAGATATTTCCTTTTTAATTTTTTGGAAGGGTTTGAGAAAGAGTAGTGTTCATTCTTCTTGAAATGTTTGATGAATTCACTTGTGAAGCCATCCAATCCAGGACTTGTCTTTAAACATTTTCACTTTTGAATAATGTAGCTTCACAGAGAGTTATGAGGTTAGCACAAGAGCCCTGTGCCCCAGCCTGCTGCAGATGTCATGGGTTGATTCCACCTGGGACTGAGCCTCGCCCTGCGGTCCCTGTGGTGTACAGTTGTTACTTCGGTGGGCTCACTGTTTGCCCACACACCCCAGGCCACCTCTCCTCCTGGGGCCCCAGGCACCAAGTACAGCCTCCTGCCCTTTCCTTTGCCTTCTCTAGGGTCAGGTCAAGATGAAAAGGACAATGATAGCACTTGAGCCCTGGACCTACACTGTAGTCTGATTCCAGTGTCAGTGTCTGTTCCCTGTGCTGGTTCTGCCAGCTGGGTGTGGGCGCATCTGCAGATGGTCTGCTCCCCTGCAGGCTCTGCTGGGGGTATTTGGGAGGCAGGTTCCTGCCACCACTGGGTACAGGGAAGGCCCCCTCCTGGGGGTCCTCCTGTGTTTCCTCTGAACATCTTAGGACCATCCTGAGCATGCTACCTCGTGGGGATCCCCTCTTCTCCATGCCTCTCAGAGCCATGTGTCTCATACCTGCCACAGCCAGGCGCCAAGATGGAGATGGACCAGCCCGAGGTGGAGTTGCTGGGCCCAAGTGACATAGCTTGACCTACTCAAGGCACCCTTGCTGGTTGCTGAGTGATACCTGGTCAAATTGGTCAACCAAGAAGGGCAAGAATGGGCAGAGGCAGCTGTGGCTAGCAGTGACTATTCCAGGGCCTAGTTAAAAAGCTTGGCACCCCTGCTGCATGCCCTGAGATTGGGCGGCCCCTGGGCAGTGGCTGCCTCTATAGTCTTGGAGGACTGGGGCTTGGAGCCTGCTGGTTCTTGGGTGTAACTCAGCCTGGGGAGATGTGTATGGCCTTGTCTGTGGGCCTTCTGTACAGGCTTGGGGTGATAGTACCCTGAGCTTTATTAGAAACTCGGCAGGGTGCAAAGGCAGGACTGGGCCATGCGGGACCATGCTCCATAGCATGGGATGTCCACAGGTGCAGTACTATGCCATGGGACACCTAGGTGTGGCCCTTCCTGTTTCAGCCCCTCTCTCCATGACAGGCCATGGCCTATGCCTCTGAGGATGGGGTCCTTACCGAGGCCATGATGGATGCCCGTGTGCAGGACGCACTGCAACAGCACCAGCAGAAGATGCAGTGGCTGGAGATTGCGGGACCCAGGCCAGGGGGTGGCCAGCGCCTGCCACCCTGAGCTGGCCAGCAGGACTGACAGCCGCCTGCCCTGCCAAAAGCTCCAGCCTCTTCTGCAGAAGAGGATGGAGCCAGCACTCGGAGAATGTTCTGAGCAGATTGGGGCTCCCAGTGGCGGCTTCTCGCCGGACACACTTGCACACTTGGCAGAGGTGTCTCCACCCAGGCTTCTGGGGAGCGAGTAGGGCATTCACCTCAGACCACCCCAGAACTGTGACCCACAGGAGGGGCCAGAGAACTGGGAATGGGTGGGTCCCAGGGGATTGGACTGAGGGAGAGGAGGCCCCACCCCACCAGCCTCTCCTGGCAGGGGTATCTGAGGCCACCTGCAGCTGACCAGCATGCCCGTGATTGGAGCCAGGATGGAATAAAATCTCTGACACAGTGCTCCACCACGTGTGCACCTCCTGCAGACAGCAAGGGCTGAGGTCTGGGCCCCTAACCCCACAGCCCTCTGGGGTCAGAGATGACAGAAGAGGCAGAGGCTGGAGCTTTCTGCAGAATTTACTGACCACAGAGGGTTGGGCTTCACAGTGAGGTGCAGCCAGGCCCCCCTGGGACGGTAGCAGCCAGGGGCCTTATTGCTACGCAGCACCCGCTCCGTCATGACCCCAGGCCACGCACACATCCCATGCATGTGCTCCCATGTGCAGACGGCCAGTTGCCCTGGCTTCCCTCCCCTCCCCTCCGCCAGAACCGCTCCAAGACTCAGACAGATGGACACCCCACACGGTGCACAGGAGGGGACACGAGGCGCTCCCACTCCTGACCGGCTGGCACCCACCTGCCTTTGCCGAGGACCCGCCCTGCTCCCCCCACTGCCACCCCCTCCCAGTACCCACCCTACCCCCTTATAAAAAGAAGAGGAGACAGCACCTTCCACTGGACTCGCCCGGCCGGCCACAGCCCTGGGCACCCTGGGCCCGAGGCTGCTGTCCAGTCCCACCGGCCTGGGCGTCCCAGAAGTCCCTTTTGCATCTGTACAGCGGCCGGTGGCCCCAGCGAGTCCGTGTGCGGCTCACAGGTGCCGCGGGCTGGGGTGGCCATTGTGGTAGAGTTTCTGCTTCACGTGCACCATGTTCCCTGCTGCCTCCTCGAAGGGCCTGTGCGGCCGCCGGCCCAGATCCCGCAAGCTGCACAGCCTGGGCAGCCAGGTCCACGAGCCATCTGCGGGGATAGGATGTGGTCAGGCGGCCGGGCTGCCAAACATGGTGCTCCCTGGGGCACAAGGCACTCACCGTAGCGCCGGCCGGCCTTCCAGGCACGCACCGCGCAGTGCAGGACGCCGTCCATCCACACCAGGAACCAGCTGATGCAGAAGCCCAGCAGCAGTCCCAGCATGAGGTCGATCTCCTGCTTGGTCACGTTGTCCGTCACAAAGTAGTTCTCGGAGGCGTCCACCACCGACTGGTCCCCGTCGTACGGGATCACGTAGTGGACGTGGTGCCTGGGGGCGGCAGGGCGGGCTGGCACCTCTCCCGTGCCAGGGCCCTAGGTAGGTGTCAAGACCCCTGTGGGTCATCCTGGGGCCTGTAAGCTGCCTCCCAGGGATGGTCAGGAAGGATGCATTGGACCCGCCCAGGCCACCAGGAGAGAGCTGCAGGGGCAGTGCCTGTGGCCTGTGGAGACCGCCCACGAAGTTGGGGTTCATGGATAGGCTGTGCAGATGGGCAAGGTTTTCCCAGACAGTCTGGTTCCCACAGCCAAGGTCATTGCCCATCTGTTGGCCCTTGGGACTGCTGAGGCCTGGCCTAGAGTGCAACACAGACCCTGGTTCCTCCTTAGGGATATTCGTTCTGACCTCTCCCAGCACCCTTCCTGGAATCTTATCTATACTTTGTGCACCCTGCCCTAAGCACCTGTGCACCCTGTGCCTCAGAGCTTCCTCTGCACCATGGCTTCTCACGGTGGCTCCCCTGCCCTGTGTTGGAGGCCTCAGGGGCAGTGCCTGACATCTTACCCTCCACCATGGTGGGCATGTTCTGTCCATGCCGAGCACAGACTGGCCTGGCTTCTACCCTCAGCTGCTCCTGAGGTGGCCAGTATTCTGGTGTCCAGGGCTGCACAGGTCCCAGGGCCTGTCTCCTTGACACCTTTCCTCACCTCCCTGGGCTCTTGAGGAACTGTTTAGGCTCAGGCCCTTGCTCACCTCTGGAGAATGTACTGATGTGTTCCACACAGCTCCCTCTAGCTACCCACCCCTTCTGGGGCTGGCAGAACACCTCCCCGAAGCCTTTTGGTCCCCATGGCCCCATGGGGTGGCCCTGCTGAGGGCCTGGCACTCTGGGCAGCAGACATAGAAGGGCCTAGAGGAGTGGGTGAGGATGCCTGTGGTCCACACCAGCCATGCCAGTCTTGGTACTCAGCTGCTCTTATCTCCATATAGGGCATTTAACTTGTACCTGAAAATAGCTCCTCTCTTCAAACACAATTCCTCGTATTCCTGTCTTCCCCTCCTATCCTCCTCTCTTCCCCTAGGTGAGATGTCATTCCCACCACCTGGCCTGAAAGCCCCTTGACTCAGGTGCCTTCTCTCCAGTGGGGCCAAGGGCACCCCAACCCAGATCAGTGAGACAGTAGGTAGCCCCTGCCAACTTCTTGGAAACTGTCCTCTTCTTGGGTCCCCTGGTAACCAGTCCCCTCAGCACTCCAAAGTGTGGCCCAACCCAGAGGATGGGGCTGGGGCCACCAGCCTTTGGGCAGGGGATAAGGAGTGACAGTGACTGACCTGGGTCATGAGCCTACCCGTAGCCACTGTTCATAATCATAAATGGAAAACTTGTTCACCACCCAGGATTTGCAGCTGCCACCAACCTCAAGGGAGGTAGCTTTTCCTGACTCTCTGGCAGGTCTCCAACAACCCTGGAGGCCCTGTGTTCCATTGCTAGCCTGGGCACCTGCAGCTCCACCTCCCTTGCCCTGGCCCCCCTCCTTCCTGGGTGCTCAGGTCTCACAGATGAAGGCAGAGCAAGACAGGCCTCTGCACAGACATGCTTTGCACACATGTGTCTGTGATGTGTACAATGCACACTGTATACACACCAGCCACATGCATGGGACACAGCGTGTATATGGTGGACACGGGCCCCATGAGTCCAAACCCAGGTTCCAGCATGGTGTCTCATGTGGGTGCACCTCCACCCAGCCTTGCACACGGCTGTCCTCTCAATGGGGTCCCTGTCATGTGCATGGGTTTGGGTGCACTGACACAGATGCTGCCTGCCACACCTGTGCTGTGGAGCATCAATCCCCATGTGTGTCCTATATATGAAATTCTATGTATCGGTATATACAAGGCATACACATATACACAAGCTTATTTTGCACATGGTGTGTACACATGGGTAGAGCCACTGTGGCAGTGCATGTACGTGGAGTGGACACAGATATCCATGTACAAAACTGTCATCTGCATACACATTTTCTGTACCCACATGGAGACATCTCAACGTTTTCCCTAAGCACACTGCACTGTATATTGTATTATATATATGTACTTTGCATACACATATATGTTGTCAATATACAAGAGTGCTTTGTACGCTGAGTTAACATACCCCATACGTAGAGATGTGTACAAAGCATGTATATGTAGACACATATGCACACGCAGGGACACCCTATGTCTCTGGCAGGTTGTGACTCTTCTGCACACAGGCCTCCCCCATAGGCACCTATGTCAGAGTCCACATACATTCTGAGTAGTGCGTGAGATGCATATACACAGTCTGTGTAAATGCTCTGGAAACATATCCTCTGCCCAGGGAGACCCTCAGTGTGCTGTCACAGGCAGACTCACACCAGGTACAATAGCCACACAGGTAAAGTGGATTACATCTACGGGGCTTGGAGTCAGGGCCCAGCCTCTGGGCATCAGCAGAGCTGACCTTGTGCCTTGTTTTGGCAGTTTGCTATGCCAGACAGGCCTGTGCACTAGGCAGGAATACCTAGCAAACTCTCTCCCCCCATGCTCAGCACAGGTGAGGGCCCTATACAGCCCCATGTCTGCCTGCTCCAAGGCCCATGTGCCCATCAGCACAGCTGTCTGTACCCACAGACATGTAACATGCCCAATGAGACAGGTCCCTGTTCTGTCTCCCACACCTGCACTCACACGTGTGCACATGGATCCCTGGAGCAGAAGTGCAGGATGTGGGGACAAACAGGGTCTGGGGCTATGTGACCTTGGGCAAGTCTGTCCCCTAAAGCTTCTGTCTGCTTCCTCATCTGTCCAGCAGGAATAACAATGGTAACTGCATGAGGGCATCTCGGGGATGGGTGTGCATGCCTACTTGCGCGTGCGTTGTGTGTACGCACATGTATATGCACAGACGGTACACACATGCGCGTCTCATGAGAAGATGTTTATTTCTTACATGGACGTACAAACATGCATGGCAGGGAGACTCCATCAGCGCGTGCACGGGGTGACGGGGTGTGTGTTGGGGGTCGCAGCCTGGCTGTAGGGCCTGGGCTCTTCCTGGATCTCTGAGTGACCTTGAGTTAGCTCCACCTTCCCGCACCCCACCCCCACCCTGCTCTCTGTCCCGGGGGCAAACAAGGTGCCCCCCAGGTAGGCCCCTCCCACCACCACCTGCCCTTCCCTACCTGGGGCTCCACTGTAGCCCCAGGCTTGGAAGCCAGAGGCCCACTCAGCCAACACCCTGGCAGGCCTCTAAAGGCGTCTGGAAGTGGTGCCCTACCTGACTCAGTTGCTTCCTTCTCCCGGAAGACCAGTGCACAACCCTGGGGGTTCACGGTCAGACGGACCCTCCCCCAGCGCACCTGGCGGCCGCCTGCGGCCCGCATGAGTCTAGCGCAGTTCTGCGGCCTGCGTGGGGGTCGCCCGCACCCCAAGTGGGCCTCTCGGCACATGTGTGGTCACGCGTGTCGTGCCTGGCGCAGAGTCCCGGACTCACCGGCCACAGTTGCAGTGGCAGACGCGGTCCTCGCCCCGCAGGTGCGGGAGGATGTAGTTGTGGAATCGGTCCAGCAGCGCGTTCATGTCCATCAAGCACGCGATGGCCTGGAAGAGCCCATGACGGGTCAGTCCCAGGGCGGAGGTGAGCAGGAGAGGGGCCTGGGGGTGGGGAGAACGCTGGGCAGGGGCACAGGGGAGTCGAGAAGGGAGCATAGGCGAGTAGGGGGAGGGGAGAGCTCAGGCCGTGGGGGAAAGGAAATTGGTAGCCGGGGAGGGGGCGCAGGCCAGGAATAAGGAGCAGGCCAAGGAGGGGCACGCAGGCCGGGGACGAGGTTGCAGGCCGGGGAGGAGAGTGCAGGCCGAGGACTGGGGTGCAGGCCGGGACCCGGATGCAGGCTGGGGAGGGGCGCGCAGACTGGGGACCCGGGTGCCGGCCTGGAAAGGGGCGCAGGCCAGGGACTGAGGTGCCGGCCCGGGATGGGCACGCAGGCCGCACGGGCAGGTAAACAAGCCGCGGGAGGTGGGGGAGGCGGCGCGCGCGCGGGCGGCGGGAGCAGGGGGCGCGCGCAGGAAGCCCCTCCGCTCACCATCACGATCGACGCCCCCAGAATCATGAAGATCATGGTGTTCGCGCTCATGGACATCGGGCGGGGCCGGGCCGGGCCGGAGCGCCGCCCCCCGGCCCCGGCGCCCCCCCGGCCCCGCAGAGGTCAGAGCCTCCTGGACCCGACGCGGCCGGCCGTGGCAACCCCCCGCCGACCGAGGGAGGATGCGCAGGACGGGGTCCCGGAGAGGGATGCGGGGGCGGCTCTGGGGTCGCTCGGCCGGGCCCCGGCCGGCCCGCCGCGCTGCGCTCCGCCCTTCGGTCCTCCCTGCACTCAGTGCGCTCGCTCGCCCGCTCGGCCTGGGCCTCCTCCCTTTTCCCTCCTCCCTCCCCACCGCTTTCCTCCGCCTCCCGGGAGGGACCGCGCCGCCCGCGGGCCGCCCCGCGCCAGCCCCGCGCCGGGAGGGACGGCCACCCGCTGCCCGGACCTTCCCAGGGACCGCAGCTCCCCGTCTCGCCTCCACCCGGCCAGACTCGGCGCCTGCCCAACAACGACCGGAGAGGGGCTAGTGGCAGTCAGACGGCCCAGACCGGTCCAGTGAGGAAGCGGAGGCGCCTACAAGGTCACTAAGGAGCACCCAGGGAGGTCACTCCAAACGACCGGCCATAGAGGCGAGAGGGCTGGGAAGCGCCGACCTCATGGTGGAGACAGGGCGCCTACGGGGTCAGCCCAGCGTGGGGCTCAGGTATACCGCCTGAAGTCCGGACCAGTGCCCATGGTTCTTCTGCTCTGGCTGCCTCTGACACCCTGGTCCTCCTGGCACACTCCTGCAGCCCAGCATGAGGGCAGGCGCCCCCCCCCCCCCCATCCAGCCTGGTGGGGAGGTTTCCCTAAACCCTCAACGGGAACATCTACTGCAGGTGAGTGGGGGAAGGGGGTAAGGTGAGCTCCTGAGGGATGGCCCCAGCCCTGCCCCACAGAGACAGCTGCTTTCAGGTGCCAAGCCAGGAACTCAGGACAAAAAGCAAAAATGACCGAAAGCAACATCTGTTTATTGGACAATTCCAGGTTCTGTCCTAGGAAGATACAGCCATTGCTTTATTCAGGTATCTGTACGGTCCCACTAGGTGGGGAAGGAGGGAAGGGATAGGCAGCAAGGGCTCAGAAATGTAGAGGGAAATGCACTATGAACAGTTTTTTTTTTTTTCCTTTTTTGGTTAAAGAAAAAAACCTTTATAATCAATATCCCACTCATAAGTAAAAGTGGGACAGAAAAACTTGATTGTTTCTATATGGTGTGTACATGTCTTCTCTTGCATATGTACAGCTTACTGGGCCACACTGTTGCCCCAAAGGATACCTAAGTAAAAACCGGTATCAGAGGAAAGAATAAACAAGAGGGCACAGGGTGCCACCAAGGCTTCGGTGGCTGTCAGTAGAAGCACACGGTGTGTAGGAAGGTCCGGCCACTCTTCTCCTCGAACTCCTGCAGCAGCTCATCGATCTCATTCTCCATGTCCTCTGTGTGCTGGATCTGCAAAAGACAACAGAACCACTATTGGGCTGAGAAAGCATAGGGCCTTCCACACGATGCTGCCTCTGCTCTGTGCTGACAGAAGGTCCTTAGGACAGCTCCAGGCCCAGCTTTGCTGAGGATTGGGATGATCAGGAGATAGGCCCCTGACCACCACCAAGCACAAGCTAGGAGTTCCCAGAGGTGATAGATACAGAAGCCTTACCACCTATGTTGTCCCCATGCTGCAAATGAACGAGCCAGGGTGCAGAAAGGCAGTGCACCAAGTCACCCAGTGAGGAAGTGGACCCACCCTGTGGTCAGGCATCTTGGTTTCCACTGACAGGTGCCAGCAGCATCTTTCCCAACTATGACAAGCACCAGTTCACCAGTCTCAGACATTCACAGTGGAGAGGAAGGTGGACACAAGCCACTCGACCCAACCCTAGCCAGGATAGCCACTCACTCTGCTAGACATGTTGGGGGTGAGGGTTGTCCCCCCTGCGGAACAGGCAAGGTGCCAGCCCCTTCATTAAGAGAGGCCTGTGTCCTGGAGATCTTGGTGGACATACAGTGCTGGCATCACTGACCACTTTTATTGGCCAAAGCTGCTCAGCTGAGTCTCAAACTCAGTGATCCTTTGGCACTTCTTACACCTTAACATTTGAAAAACCTGAAGTCTTTTTTTTTTTTTTTTTTGAGACAGAGCCTCAAGCTGTCCCCCTGGGTAGAGTGCCGTGGCATCACAGCTCACAGCAACCTCCAACTCCTGGGCTCAAGCGATTCTCCTGCCTCCTCCTCCCAAGTAGCTGGGACTACAGGCACCTGCCACAACGCTCGGCTATTTTTTTTTTTTTGGTTGCAGCTGTCGTCGTTTGGCAGGCCCAGGCTGGATTCGAACCCGCCAGCTCAGGTGTACGTGGCTGGCACCTTAGCCAGTTGAGCCACAGGTGCCGAGCCCTGAAGTCATTCTTTATGGGACACCCTGCCTGGTGCAGGTGGGGACTCAGCGAGCATCTGCAGCAATGATGGCTGGGCTGGGTTTGCCTAGAGCCTCCTGCCCTGCCCTGCCCTGCCCTGCCCTGCCCAGCCCAAGGTGGGGGATGTCTGGGAGCTCACACACTGGCAGCCCAGGTCTGGGGGCATCCAGGTGGGGGGCGTCCAGGCACTCCGGCTAGCAGCCTGGGTAGGGGTGGGGAGCCCACATCTCGCACTCACACACTGGCAGAGCTCGCAGATGAGGAAGGCCCCCAGGGTGGCCTCTTCGTGGTTGTCCTGGATGTCTACATTGACCACATGCACGGGTTGGCAGGTCTCCTGTTCTCTGGAATTCAGATCTGATTGGGACAAGGTAGCACAGGTGTCAGATGTTCCAGAATCAGTCAACAAGTGGTCAGTGTGGCCAAGTTCTCTACCCTGCACTACCTGCCCATGAGCTGGCATCAGCTGTTCCTGCCCTCTAGGGTTTTGGACAGAAGATTAAGGACTGAGCGCACGTCCAAGGTCCCAAGTCCTACCTAAGGAGAATGTCACATGGAATACAACTGTGACTTAAAACCTCACAACCTAGACATGAGGCCTGTTCAAGCATTCAGCCAGTTTAGGACAAAGCACTTTTCATTCATTGAACACCAGCCCTGGCCTCAAGTGCATGTACAGCAGAGGCTGACTGAGGCCCACCGGCGTCTGTCAGCCAGCACCACCAGCAAAAGGGCTGTGATCATGGTCCCCCAACAGCTCCTACACTCTCTCCCTCCTTCCCATAGCACTCCCCAGCCTGCCCATGCCCAGCAAAGCAGCTCCCATGCGAGGCGGCCTGGCTGAGCGCACACCGGGCTGCTTCCTACCTTCCACCACCTGGTCGTAGACTCTCTCTTCACAAGTAAGGATCAGATCAAACAGATCTTTGCAGTTCTGGAACCTCTCTGGCCGGGGCTTGATTCTCTTATTTCTGTCCAACATATGCAAAATGCCATTCTGTGTGTAGCTAGATACCACAGTTAAGGAACTTCACATGGAAGCTTCTACTAACCAAACCCAGGAGCGCCTGTGTTACTGACCCCAGCCCCTCCTCCTCTGCCCCTGCGACAAGGGCACCAGGCTGCAGGCACTGGGCAGTTCTGTGGGGCCTAGCTGGGGCAGGGTCAGCACTGTGCCCAAAGGTCACTCAGAGCTTCATGAACTGCATCCACCTCAGCCTGGCTTCAGCCATCTCACTGGGACAATCTCAGAGGTCTCCCCCCGCCCCCACCAGATCACCACCTGTCTCCTCTCGGGTGACCATCAGCCTGAGCAGCAGTCTTTGCACTTTGCTCATTTGCATCCAATCCAGACACACCTGCTATCTGGGCCTGAGCCCTTCAGCACAGACAAAGCCAGCCTGGACACCAAACCCCAAGTCCAGTTCAGTTATGATAGTAAAGTCTGGAAAGTCCAATGAAGAAAAATAACTTCAGAAGCAACAAGACCTAGAAAAGACTGAAGGTGGTATAGGAGCTAACGCCTTAGTCAGCTGTTTGCAGGGAGCCCTGAAAGCCCAATGGGCAGTAAAGCTCAGGGGATGCTGGCCGTGCCCACACAGGCCCTGAAGCCCTGGGGAGCCTCAAGAGCCAGTGCCCCACTCCACCCCCAACAGCTGTGCCTGATTTAGGGGTCTCCAGGGAGTTAACCTCCTCAAAAAGAGACTGAGTCCCCACATAACAGCCCCTGCGGACAGGTGGGAACAAGCATCCCCTTAATTCTATTTTGGAGAAACTAGCTGATTTTTGGAGAGAGAGACTAGCTGATTTAGGAATTCGAAGTGATTATTCATCTTTAAGTTATGTCAATCTATTTAAATAAGCTTATAATACTTTAAATATAGTCCCTACCTTTCTAGATAACAAAAGTAGCTTTTAGAATTAAGTGGTCTACTGAAATCTGTATTAATCATGGTATAAATAAAGGTGTAATTAAATGGTCAATCTAAGAGGTTCAACTTGAAAAGACACCTGACCATGAGCTGCCAAGCTTCTTTGTCCTTATTAGTTCCAGGGTGATGCACTTGGCCCAGCTGCGACCTGGCTAGGCCTGCTTGTCTTCCTGCAGCTCAGAAGTGGTCCATCTTTGGCTCGGTGCCTGTGGCTCAAGTGGCTAAGGCACCAGCCACATACACCTAAGGTGGTGGGTTTGAAGCCCAAGCCTGCCAAACGACAATGATGGCTGCAACCAAAAAATGGCCAGGCATTGTGGCGGGCGCCTGTGGTCCCAGCTACTTGGGAGGCTGAGG